TTCATCTATACTCGTTGTACTTTGACACCTTGTACACAATTTTTATTATCCGAAAATAATGTTGAAAGACTCATGAGTGTCATTGTTTTGGGCCTGCACCTTCGAAAGTATTATGGAATTGTTATTATCATTTCGGCCAAWATAAAAATAAGTTTCTCTTTTCTCTTGGAAGGAATATACGGATATCAGTTTGTTATTGTTGATATAATACACTAGGTATACAAAAATAGCAATGCARAAAGATTACTAATTGTACACGTACGTTTTGATTGAATTTTACTATTTACAAAATGTTAAAGAAAGCGTGTTTGTTTTCTTAACAGTAAAAGAAGATGTTCTCAGAAGACCAGCATATAAAATATTAAATTAATCGAAACCGGTTTTTGTGAATAGTTTATTGTATAGATATTCAATGTTTCCCAAAACAACTGTAAATGTAATCAGTTGTGTATACATATTTTAATATTTACTAGCGTGCATTTATGATTTCGATTTTCGACAACCAGAGATATTTTGGATCACAAACCATTCACTACCGTTTTCACCTTGTGGGTTTGTTATTTAAATTTCTTGTCTCGTAATAAATTGTCAGTTGTATCTTGTATACATTATATATATTAAATACATTTTACGTATCACCGTGATATAGATGCCATTTTCAGGCATCTTTWTTATTGCTTTATGTACGCATTACCAATAATAAGAATAGCATTATTATCTGCACGTTTATACGATGCATCACCCTGAACCGGATTAGACAGTCTTCGGAGGCCCTWTAAATTTGAGTATTTTGGGATTTTTATTTTATTTTAGGTACCATTGTATGCCAAATGCTCAAACATAGTCTCACATAACTCTATATAGGTAATATAAGGGAAGTAAAGAAAAATATAAATATTTACATATATAATATATTTTTTTCAATTCGAACTATTAACTATTTTTAACATCCCATAATTATTTCTATTTTCTTCTTCTTCTTATTGAAATTTTAGATCATTAATATATATATAAAATGCGATAAATAATACAATATTAAGGTGTTGTATGCAGTGCCACCTAATTGGCCACAAAGTTCACGAACGAGTGTGGTGACTTAAATTTTGTCTCGGATGATCAATAGAAATTAAAATATAACATAAAGAGTGGGGATATTTTGGGAAATATATGATGAAATAAAGCAGAAAAAATATTTAACTAAAAGGTAAAAGTTGATTTTCCGATCAGTTATATAGTATACCGGCGATTGCAAGGGCGTTCGTTTTTGATTTTTTTTTTTTATAATATATTTTAGCAGACCGAAGACCAAAACGACGTCGACTGTCGATTGAATCTGGCGCCACACCACCCGTCGTGCCRTTTGGTCGACGCCCGGTCGGGTGGTGGTGGCGACGGCGGCACGGGCACTCCAGCGGGCCAAGCAGCAGCAGCAGCTGTTTGTAGTAGCCGTCCGTGTACAGCGCACGTCCGACCTGCACGCGAACCGAACGTTTCCCGACGACGACGCCGCCCGCTCGTGAGTATAATATGTATAATATTTATATATATATAAAGATATGTTATCTCTAATAATTGTTATCACAGCTGACTTGCGTAGGAGAGAGGTGGTGGCGGCGTGGTAGGTTCCACGTACGCAAACAAAACTCGCCCGCGTCCCTATAATATTGTATTATTATAACTATTATTATTATCTTTTTTATTGTTATTTTTCTTTTTTTTTTTTTAATAATAATAAATTAATAACTTTTAGTTTAATACTATTACAGATTTACAGTTAAAATTATCATTATTATTATTATTACAACGTTGTCATAGGTATATTTGCGATTTGTATACGCGTCTGATTTGACATTATRATATTGTACGAAGGGATTTCGTTACGACTTTCATAATATTATCTTTTTAAAACTATTGGATTATTATTCCAAATGCGTTTTGTAGGCGTCCCCAGGTTAGACACTTCGCGTTACAGCAGTGTTCTCGGGCTGTCATTTAAATATGATCAATGACAATAGGTATAGGTATAGTATGAATGATAAAATCGTTAAATTCATAGGCGGCATCTAGGGAGGGGGGTATGAGGGTGCAGTTGCACCCACGACAATTTTTCTGGGGTGGCAAAAGTATCATTTTGCACCCACACACAGACAATCACAACAGTAAAAAATATTTTAATTATTTTATTGTTAACAATTATACTGATAATTGATATAATGTAATTTTGATAATAAAAAATAATTATGGATCATTTTAATATTTTATATCTGCTTACTCAATTAATTGTACATACTAAAATCTTAGTCCGTGA